AGAGAGAGAGAGAGAGAGAGAGAGAGAGAGAGAGAGAGAGAGAGAGAAAGTAAGTCAGTAATTACATTTCATTTTACACATAGGTTAAAAAACAACTTCTGGGGCTGGAGCTATAGCTCAGTGGCAGAGTACTTGCCTTGCATGTGTGAGGCACTGGGTTTGATCCTCAGCATCATATACAAATGAACAAATAAAATAAAGGCATGCTGCCCATCTACAACTACCAAAATAAACAAACAAACAAACAACTTCTGTGTCTACAGAATTATATTTAACTACAAAACAAAGTTAAACAGAGAAGCAGCAGATGAAAGAATAACAGAAGTCTCACATTTTAGTAAGCATACAAAGTATCCTTCCAGTTAGAAAAATAAGCCAGTAGGCTAAATTCACTCAGTTGTGATCAAACTTGGGATCAAAGTTACACAGCTTAGGGGTAGAGCACTTGCCTAGCATGTGCATGTGAAGAAGGCCCTGGGTTCAATCCCTAGAACTTCCAAAAAAAAAAAAAAAAGGACACATGGGAGTTGGGGTTGTAGCTCAGTGGTGGAGCACTTGCCTCACAAGTATAAGCCACTGGATTTGATCCTTAGCACCACATAAAAATAAAATAAATAAAGGCATTGGGTCCATCTATAACTAAAAAATATATATAACAAATTATATGAAACAAAAATTAAAAACAGATACATGGGCACATGACAGGCTTGGAGTATAGCTCTGTGGCTGAGTACATGCCTAGAATGAGAGTACCTGGGTTTGATCCCCAGCACAGCAAATAAGATAAAATAAAATAGTATGGGGGGGGCTGGGGTTGTGGCTCAACGGTAGGGCGCTCGCCTAGCATGTGCAAGGTCCTGGGTTTGATCCTCAGCACCACATAAAAAATAAATGAAATAAAGATATTAAAAATAATTTAAAAAAAAATAGTATTATGGGACGGGGGAGGGGAGAATGATGTTTACAAAATGACAATCCTTCAAAAATGTTTACTTAATTAGTCAAGACAGTTCTTTCACATCAAAACAAATCAGTAAAACTGGTTTTAAGTAACAGGTCAAAAGGTGATTGTCTTAAATCTGTTGAGAAAGATGAAGTGAGCTTATGATCTATATGTACTCCAACATAATACACCACAATTAAATGTTTAGTTTCAAGAATGATGTTTTTTATGTTACAGAAATCAAATTATAGTACTGTCTTTGACTGATCCTAGAGAAAAAATTTTCCCTACAGATTAGCACGCCCTAATGCCTACATGATTAACAACAATAAAGGTGATACAATTACAAATGAAAAATAACTGCAATTGTGAAAAATAATTATTACTATTGCCTCTGTGTGCCTAAAATTAAGAAAAAACTGGTATCAGAATTTAAAGATCACATACAGAAAATTTAACTTTTAATATAAGCAAGGCAAAGGCTACAGTTCCATAGTCTCACCCAGAAATTAGAACACACAATAGCGATTTGAGGAGAGAGAACTATGAATTGCATTATAAGAAGTCTATTTCAAAGAATTAATTTAATTCACCTCATAAATCTGTAAATTAAAATACTAGCTTAAGAAAATATCAGAATGAACAGCAACTTCCAATGCTTAAGTCTACAATAGCTGAAGTAAAACCAAATTTGGGGAAGGTTGCTACTAACCTTTTGTACAAATTGCAAATATTTTTTGAACACACTATTATTAAGTACTGCTCTAGACCCTGGCGTTCCATGGTGAACAAAGCAGGTAAGATTTCTGCTCTCATGGAGTCTATATTCTACTATCAATTAAAAACAAAAATGGGGGGGGGGGTGGGCAGGGTGGTAACACACAGCCTATAATTCCAGCAGCTCCAGAGGCTGAGACAGGAGGATTACGAGTTCAATGCCAGCCTCAGCAATGGTGAGGCATTAAGCAACTCAATAACACCCTGTCTTTAAATAAAATACAAAATTGGGCTGGGATGTTCTCAATGGTTGAGTGGCCCTGAGTTCAATCCCTGGTACCCACCTCCCAAAAAAAGTGGGGGTGGGGGGCAAAAAAAAAACAGGGTAAGAAACAGGTATGAATGAGAATAAGGCTCCTTGAAGGACATAATATAACTAAGACTCAAATGACAAAGATCAGCCATGTGACAATATAGGAACAGAACCTTCCAGGCAAAGACAACATAAAGAACAAAGGTATTATAAAAATATTTAATGGATTATCTCTAAATCAAGTTCTTTTAATACAAAGAACTACTTAGTGACTTCAAGTGAGTTACAGTCTGAACACTTTGACTGAAAAAAACAAACAAACAACAAATAACAACAAAAAAAACCCCACTAAAATACAAACAAATGTATGAACTGATCAGGACAGAAGCAGTAAAAATAACACTAGTTCATGTTCATGACAGGAAGCATTTTATTAAAAGCATATGCTGTGTACTGTGATAAATTATTAGTCTCATTTCAGGTTGAAGATCTACTGGAAGATATCTATGACATTGATAATTAATTATATTTAAATTAACCTTGGATAGAGTGGGTAAAAAAATGATTAGATAGATTAAGACACTTAGTCGTCCTCTCAAATAACACAATTTAAATATCAAGTTGGCATTTCACTTATATTTGCGAAATGTTAGCAACTCATAATATCTGAGGTGGTAAGGGGAAAAATGAAAAGATCCTCTCATGTAATGTAGTTGTGTCATTAACCAGTTTAACATTCTTGTTAATTAATTTTTTTAACTGACAAAAGGAAAAACTGTATATTTATGGTGTACAATATGATATTCTGATATAAGCAAGTTAATTAACATATGCATTACCTCACATGCTTATCATTTGGTTTAACTTAAAACAATATTTATTAGTGCATTATAGTTATACATATATGGGAGTCACAGTAAAAAATGTATACAACATAGTTTACTCCATTTCAATCCCTAGTACTTCCTCTTTCTTTCCCCTCCTGCCTCCCCAATTCCTTTCTTCTACTCTGTCATCCTTTTATTTATTTTAATTGGTACATTATAGTTACACATAAAATTGGAATGCATTTTGATACATTCATGCAGGCACATAACTTCATTCATTGGTTTAACATTTTTTGATGACAAACTCATGATGTACACATTCTGCAAATGACTATATAAATTATACTGTTTATAGTAGTGAAAAATGAGTCAAATGTCCATCAATAAGGGATTAAAAAATAAATCCAAGAAGCACCTACAACATGCAGCACAATGCAGTGCTAAAAAAGACAATGAGGGCTGGGGTCATGGCTCAGTGGTAGAAAGCTTGCCTAGTGTGTATGAGGCACTGGATTCAATTCTCAGCACCACATATAAATAAATTAATTAAATAAAGGTCCACTGACAACTAAAAAATATTTTTAAAAAAAGACAATGATTGGAATGGGTGCACACTAAAATGAAAAATGTCCAACACACCTTGTAAAAAGAAAATAGTATATAACAGTTTATAAGTTTATATTAATAAAAGTGTGTTAATAAATAATTTATAAGACATATACATTTGTGCCAGGTATGGTGGTACATTCCTGTAATCCCAGTGGCTCAGGAGGCTAAGGCCTGAGGATCACAAGTTCAAAGCCAGGGGCTGGGGTTGTGGCTCAGTAGTAGAGCACTTGCTTAGCATATGTGAGGTATAGGGTTCCTTCCTCAGCACCACATAAAATAAATAAATAAAATAAAGGTATTGTGTCCATCTACAACTAAGAATTTTTTTAATTAAAAAAAAAAAAAAAGTCTGAGGCTCAGAAACTTAGCAAGACCCTAAGTAACTTAGTGAGACTCTGTCTCAAACTAAAAAAATATAAAAAGGGCTAGGCGTAGTGGCGCACACTTGTAATCCCAAAGGCTCAGGAAGCTAAGGCAGGAGGATCAAGAGTTCAAAGCCAGCCTCAGCAATGGGAAGGTGCTAATACGCAACTCAGTGAGACTAAATAAAATACAAAATAGGACTGGGGATGTGGCTCAGTGGTTGAGTGTCCCTAAGTTCAATCTTTGGTATCCAAAATAAATAAAAAATAAAATAACAAGGGCTGTGAATGTGGCTCAGTGGGGATGTGGCTCAGTGGTTAAGTGCTCTTAGGTTCAATTCCGGGTACCAAAAAAAAAGACATACACATTTATATATGCACAGAAACTGTTATGGTTTAGATGTGGTATCCCCAGAAAGCTCACATGTGAGACAATGCAAGAAGATCTGGAAGAGAAATGATTGGGTTATAGCCTTAGCTTAACCAGTGAGTTAATCCCTAAACTAAAGTGGTAGGGTATGGCTAAAGGAGGTGGGAATTGGGGTATTGCTATGGTTTACGTATTTATATATGATAAGTAGAATCTCTCTGTGCTTCCTGAACACCTTGATATGAGTTGCTTCCCTCTGCCACCCTCTCCCACCATGATGTTCAGCCTCACCTGGAGCCCTGAGGAATGAACTAGCCTTCTATGGATTAAGACCTCTAAAACCGTGAGCCCTCAAATAGATTTTTCTTTCTTACAGTTGTTCTGGTCAGATCATTTAGTTACAGCAGCAAAAAAGCTGACTAAAACAGAAATTGTCTAGAAAGATATATAATAAGCTGTTACAAGTAATTCTTCTTTTACAACTAGTATTAGTGAGGAAGGAGAGGTAAAAAGGACAAATAGGAGGTTTTCTTTTAAATTTCATAAATCTCTCTACTACTTTTTTTCCTAAAATAGTTAAGAGAAACTTTTAAAAACTTGTTTAAGAAATGAAAATGCATTTGAATTACTGGTAACCTGGAACTGGAGTAATGTCTGTCCAGAGCTCCTGATACCAAAAATGGCTCCAAATATTGAGCTGAACATTATAATCATATTACTCAAAATAAAACTTTACTTGTATTCCAATTAACAGAAAACCATTATACAAAAGTAATGTATTTAGAGTAACTTTTAATTACACTCTGATGGCACTCTAACATGTAAAATAAAGTCTAATATAGTTTGTAATGTCTTTTGAGATCCAGCCCTGTATTTCTCAAACTTGCATATGCATGCAATTCACCAGTGGATCCTGCTAAAATGTGAACTCTAATTCAGCAGAGTAAGATGGAGACTGAGAGCCCCCCTTTCTAGTTAAGTTCTGCAGATCACAACTTTGAGTTATAAGGATCTAGGCCAAGTTTGTAACTACCTATACTTGATCTTTAGTGAATAACTTGATCTTTTGTGAATTATGTATTTCATACCTCTGTGCCCTTTTACACTTTATTCTTATCCTATATAGTTTTCCCAACCTCCTCCATCCCTAAAACTTTTATTCTCTGTAATAGGTTTAGTTCAAACATTGAAGATATTTCAGGTAGGTATAGGTACGACTTCTTTTGTATTCCCTGAAGACCTGTGTTTATATGTTCCAGAATTCATCACATTTGCTATACATACATCCATCTCCCTATCAGACTCTGAGTTTGAGTAGGAAGTATCTATTCTCAGCACACTGGTATTCTATAAATGCTTTGGAAGACAAGTCACTAAGGTATCAAGTTTCTGACATTACTTTGAAATAATGGTTATCATAATCACTTTGATTCCATAATATTTTATAGTAGCATTCAGTTAAAAGTAGGTAGTTTCTTAAAATATGATACAACATTTATATTATAAATTAAAGAAAACGTTGCACTATTTGATTAGATATTTACCTTACTGCTGAAAAAAATCAAGTTAAATTTACTTCATTTTGGAGTAAAAAATGGTAAAACAAAGATTGTGCTTTATAGTACTCTTTTAAATACTTTAAGAAAAAATAAGAAAGATATTAAATTCTTGATCTACCTTTCTCCCTTAAATTTATTAGAACACTTTTATTATATTTTTAAAACAAAATGGCAGAATAATATCTTAAATCAGATGCTAACAGGCAGCCCTCTCTTTACCACTCACCTTCCTCATCTATCCATTTCATGGTAAAAAGCTGTTCATTGTCAAAAGAACACATGTCTCGAACCTCATTGCAAAGGCCCTCAAAGGAGATGGAAGGCTCAAAGTGTGTTATCATGATATCCCTGAAAAAGAAAAGGAGTTTTAAGTTTGAAAATGAATTAAACTATAATAATCTATATATTATTGAATGCTTAATAACTTGATGAAGTTTAGCCAACTTGTGTGTGCATCAGCATGTACTACTTCCAGAAAACTATCCTTTATAGTTTTATAAAGGAAAAATTTAAATATCAATATTAAATTTCTTAAGACAAATATGTTGGATTAATGAGAAACCTTAATTCAATCTCCCCTAATTGAGAAAGCCTACTCTAGCTGTTCTAACAGATGACAGTCCTACTTTTGCCTTAACATTAGTTATCAGACCTTTACTCCTTCGGGAGGAATTTTTGTTCTGCTCTTGAAAGGTTCACTATATAAGCTTCTACTTTATGTTTAACTGAAATCTGTTTTAAACACCAGTCCCATATCTCCCCTCCCCTAAGAGTCTACCCTTCATCCAAGAGATGCCCTTCTGTCGTGTTATGCCCACTAGCCTGACTTTCATAGATTAACCACCAATAAATCTGTTAATCATTATTTGTACAGCATAATTTCTAGATCTCTCTGTCTTCATTTTCACCTTTTACCCATAAGAATTACAGTTTGCCAAAATTGGTTTTAAAGTGACTCATATTTTAAGGTAAGTAACCCAAAACATATAGGAAGAGACATACAATATGTATTTCCTTTGGATCAGCATTAGATGAACGACAGTTTAAATAAATTCACAGAGCAGATATTCACTATAAGATTTAAAATTGTAACAAAATGTTTTAAAGTACAGGCTTGTGGTTTTCTCCAAGGAGCCAGCAGAAGGTTTCCTATGACCTAATCTCCACATAATAGCCACAGTGATCCTCTCAAATATAAGTTAAATAGATTGAAAATTTCTTTATTTAACACTTACATAGTGATCCCTATGTATCAGACTGTGTTCTAAGGTTTTTACAAAATTAATGTAGTTCATGTCCTTCCTCTGTTTTAAACTATTCAAATGCATATATAGTCATGCAGAGCAAAATCCGAAGTCCTTAGCAGGGTTCACAAGGGAACCATATGAACTGGCTCCAGCTACCTCTATAACCTATTTTCCCTACCACTACACTACAAATGCTTATAGTCCACCATCTGTCCCAGCTAAAATATAAGCTTGGTAAAGGTGAAAGCAAGGACTTTTTCATCAAAATCCTCCTAGTAGCCAAAGCAGAGCCTACACAGAATAAATAAATGGAAATGACAGCACTGTGAACTAACTTAGGTAGTTGGAACACAGAATAGGAAATAAGAAATTAAAATTTTAGTTATCTGCAAAAAAAGTTACAGCTGAAGTCTTTCAATACTACAAAGGTAAGCAGAAAGCCAAACAAGAATAGAAATCAAATGGTCTTTTCTTGGTTATCATTATTTTACCAAGCACCTCGTATTTTTCTGCCCCTCAGAACTCTGTGGCCTTGGCTTTTATAACAATATGCTTCCCTGACTCTGTCTACCATTCTGAACACTTATGTCTCCTTTTGTCTTTGATCACAAGACATTCTTTATACCTTCTCTCACATTCATTCATTCATTCTCTCTCTGAAATCTAATTCACATTCAGTGTTTTAACTACTATGTTTACATAGAGATTTCCTAAATTTGTAATTTCAACTCTGTGTGGTACTTACAACTCTTGATAATCTGGTTCTAATTTCTATTTTCAACTGGATCTGCCACTTCCAACTCTGATTTACTCACAACCCCACACATTAAGATATTAATTACTCAAGTCTAATCCAGACATTCCCTCAGTTTAGGGCTCAGTGTATGGTGGTGAATGAGGGAAACTACTCTGTGATGGGCCCTAAAACTTCCGTTAAACTGTCCAACAGGTATCTTACCATCAATTCACCACATACTGATAACACATCTTCTACTAAATTGTAAACAACTAGAAGATAATAGGAACTCAAATATCTCCCAACTGAATGCAGAAGAAATACTTTCAGATCTGGGATGTAGCTAGTACAGCACCTGCCTGGATGTGTGAAGCCCTGTTCCCCAATACAAGCAAATGCACTATTATTATGTTTTCTTTTTCTATAAACATTTACAGAATACTTATAATACTTATTATGCTTGAGGTGTTTAACAAGCCCTTATCTTATTTAATCTTTACAGTAACTGTCAGACTAGACACACAGAATCCCATCTTGCAGATTTATTTAAAAGGCACACAAGGGAAGATTAGGTACTTTGTTTTACTGATACTGTATTACCACTACCTTAAGCAGCTTCTGACCCACAGTGGATGTTCAAGTAGTTTATGTTCAGTGAAGAGAGGTGTCATATGTTGGACTCTAAGGAAGTACAAAGAAATTAAAAGCATCCCAGAAAGGCATATGAGAGGTAGCCCCAATATAGTGGTTAAAACTCTGAAATCTAAAACCAAAATATTTAGGGGTGTTTTTGGCACTGGGGAATAAACCCAGGGGTGCTTAACCATTAAGCCACATGCCCAGCTCTTTTATATATATTTTTAGAGACAGGATCTCACTAACTTGCTTAGGGCCTCACTAAATTGCTAAGGATGGCTTTGAACTCATGATGCTCCTGCCTCAGCCTCTGGAGCTGCTGGGATTACATGCATGCACCACCAGATCTGGCATGTTTGGGTTTGAATCCAGGCTCTATTACTTACCAGCTAGTGTGTGACCTGAAGTGAGTTACTTAACTTCTTTATGCCTTAATTTTCTCATCTATAAAATAGGAATAATAATACCTCAGATGACATAATGAGGATTAATAAGTTTAGTTAATTAACATTTGTAATACTTGGAATAATGCCTAGCAAATAGCATATTTATATGTATTTAATAATTTTTAAAAATTGTATATTCATACAGTACTCTAAGTAGGAGCGAAACCTCACTAGAGAGACAAAAATAATTTTACCTTCTATCTTTTAAAAACTTTTTTCTTAGTTGTAGATGGACACAATACCTTTATTTTATTTATTTTTGTGTGGTACTGAGGATTGAACCCAGTGCCTCACACATGCTAGGCAAACACTCTACCACTGAGCTACACCGGCCCCCTTTCTACTTTTCTTTTTCCATTTTTTCCTTTTTTAGTGGTACTGAGGCGTAAACCCATGGCCTTGTGCATACCAGTCAAGAGTTCACTACTACTGAATTCTATACCTGGCCCTGCCCCCCTGCCTTTTTTCATTTTTTCAGTTAATTCTACCTTCTAAAAGCAACATACAACACTTCTAATATAGCTGAAGTAAACATATCTTTGTTGCTTTCTTCCTAAGGGTCCACTGACATGACAGAAAACTGAAACAACAAATTACTAAAGTCTTAATAACAAAAAAGGAACCAGAAGCAGAACAGAAAGAATGAGAAAACTCTAGATGATTAAAAACAGATGGGATAAATATGATTAAGAAAACATACCAGCCCAAAACATCAAAGAGAAACTTTTAAAAGAAAAATGTTTTATTGACATAAGATTATTTTTCCTTCTCTAAGCATTTAATCACATTTCTTGGCACTTCATCTTATAAATGTATTTTACAAAAGGCTAAGGGAAAATTTTTGACTTAAAGAATAGGATAATGTTTAAACCTTTACAATGTAAAATTTACAAAGAAAAATCAAGATGTGGAAAAAGTTAAAAGAAATGTAAATTCAAAAATGTCTCTCTCCTAGTGTCAATCCACTATTTAAAACTGAAAATTTTGAAAGTAGGGAAAAAAAAACAATTTAAAAATAAGCAAAAGATGATTTGAACAGACATCTTTCCGAAGACGATACACAAATAGCCAATAACCATATGAAAGATGCAGCATTATTAATCATTAGGAAACTGAAAATTAAAAGTAAATGAGGTATCACCTCATAGCCATTAAGATGGCTACTATCAAAAAAAAAAAAAAAAACAGGGAGGCTGGGATAAGAGACACAGCCTGTAATTCCAGTTACTCAGGAGGCTGAGGCAGGAGGATCTCAAGTTGAAGGCCAGTCTGGGCAACTCAGACATTGTTTCAAATAAGAAAAAGAGTTGGGGATGTAGCTCAGTGGTAAAATGCCTCTGAGTTCAATCCCCAATATTACAAAAAGAAAAGAGAACAAACAGTGCTGGGATTGTGGCTCAGCAGTAGAGCGCTAGCCCAGTGGGGCGGGACCCAGGTTCGATCCTCAGCACCACATAAAAATAAAGGCATTGTGTTGTGTCCATCTACACCTAAATATATATATATATATATATATATATTAAAAAAGAGAGAAAAAGCAAACAAAACAAACAACAAAAACCCAGAATAAATAAATGTTAGCAGGGATGTGGAGATCCAGAAGACTTGCACATTAGAAATGTAAAAGGGTGCATCAACTCTGAAAAACAGTGCAGAAGTTACTCAAAAAATTAAAAACAGATTTTCCACATAATCTAGCAATTCTACTTCTAGGTATATATGAAAAAGAATTGAAAACAAGATCGTAAACAGATACTTGCATACCCATATTCATGGCAACATTGTTCATAAGAGCCAAAAGATGGCACTAGGCCATTGATGGATGAATGGATAAGTAAGTACTTACATAAAATGGAATATTATGTTTCTTTTCTCAAAAAAGAAACCTCAACAAGGAAGGAAACTAACATAATTATAACATTAATGAATATTGAAAATATTATGTTAAATGAAATACTCAGTCACCAAAAAGCAAATACTGTGGAACTACTGATATGAGGTACTTACAATAGTCAAATTCATTGAAATGGAAAACAGAATGGTGATTGCCATGGAGGAGGAAATGTAGTTTTCTAATGGATAGAAAGTTTCTGTTTTACAAAATGAAAAAGTTCTAGAGATTGACTGCATGACAATGTGAATATAGTTAACACCACTAAACTGTACACTTAAATGGAAAAAAAAAATTTTATGTAAACATGACTAAAAATTGAAGTACAGAAAGGTATATTATTTAAGTTACAAATATAGCCAGTGCAGTGGTGCAAGCCTGTAATCCCAGCA